AAATTTTTAAAAAGCAATTGTTTAAAAATGGGAATAATTTACGCGTTTAGACCAATTAAAATTTGGGTATGTTTTTTTATTTATAACAATAGTTCGGCAAGTAACTTTACAAGTACATCGAATTGGTTTAGTTGATTGATTTAAATAATGGTGAATATATATTGAATTTCGAATTTGATGATATAATAATCAGGACCCTGCACAATAACGCAAAGAATAAATTTTAAAATAATAAATTGAAATCGTATACAAGTTTTATTTCTTTACTTACAAGATTACAAATTGACTTGTTAACGTTTTACTGTGGTAATGTTAACATCTTTTTCTAAAAAAATACAACTGTAAAATGCATGAATTCCGATTCCCAGTTACTGAAAAAAATAAAGCCTTTTATTTGTTAAATGAGAAATTTTTGTTTCTTCAAATATTCATTGCTGATCTTTTACCATTTTTCTGTGTAAATAATATAATGGAAAATACAAAAGTAAAGTTCAAAAACATTTTACAAATGAATTTTATTTGTTAAGACTATCTATATTATGCATAGAAAAAATTTTAAAGTTAATAATAATAAAAAAAAAAAAAGGTGTGAAAAATAACAAATAATATGCGCTAGCCGAATCTTTTCGTCCAAGAATGTATTTTGTTGGGCTAAAGCATTGAACAATAATTGTTTTTTTCCAATTGAATTTGATCTTTTTTATGGATTGTTTTTTTTTTCAAGTTGAACTATGCACACGCATAGAAAGAAGTCGATTGTTATCTATAGATTATTTACTAATTTGGAACAATGTTTGTACATTGTCTACACAATTTTTTTGTTTATCGACTTGGGATAATTTGCCACACATATTGTACCATCAACACTTTTTAGAAAACGTGGTACCAGGATGTGACCGTTAACATGATCAGAATAAAGATCTGCTGCTTCTTTACATTGTGCCACTCTTTAAAATTTTGTACTTGTTCTCGCGATTTTTTTTTGAAACCTTTAATAATTAAGAAATATTTAATTATAATATTTAAGACTATTATCAAATAATCTTTTGTTCATATTCATTGTTGTGTAGGTGGTTAATAAGAATCTTTTTATTTTACCAAAAGAAGTATAGAAAAAAGTTAAAGATTTAAACTTTCGGATCAATTTCAAAGTAAAAAAAATATAATATATCATTATAAACGCGAATCGTCTTATCCGGTGACAATTTTATACGAATTAAATCCAGCGATGACATCAAATTATAGAAACCTTCCAGCTCTCAATTCAATATCTGTAAATACAACAAATCTTTCACAGAGTACTCCTAATGTAATTAATACAGAGGCTGGTAAAATTATTTGTGTAGCTGATATAAGAGGTGATAAGGATAATTTGAACTATAAATAATTTTGGATGCCAATTGATATGGAATTTTAAAGATTAAAAAAAATATATATATTTTTAGAAAATTTTATATATTATTAAATTATAATTATTCACTTATTGAAAATAATTAGGAGACATTTCTCGATTAAATAAATTAGCTGAAGAAACCAATGCATCATATATAATTCATTCTGGTGATTTTGGATTTTATGGTAATTTAATTAATGATTTACATTATTTAAAATTAATAATTATAATAATAACAATAATATTTTTTTTTTTTTTAATTTTTTTAAAAAAGAAAGTGAAAGTCTTGGTCGCATGAGTGATAGGTTTGGGTTTTATATTTATATTTATTTGGCCAGTAGTGAATTGGTTGATTAATTCATTCATTATTATTAATGTCTTGCCATTAAATGATTAAACTCTTTACTCATTACTTAAAATTTTTTTTTAAAAAAATAAGGACTCTTCGTCATAATATACAATATACTATACTTATACCTGAACGTGAGAAATCACGGCTTCTTTCTCTTAATTCAACAGAATTACGTAAAGTGATACTTGAATCCGATTTACCACTTCTCTCTGAATTTTCACTTTTTAAAGAAGGAAAAAAAACTCTTAAAGTTCCCGTGTATACAATTTGGGGAGCTTGCGAAGATGTAGCTGTTCTTGAGAAATTTCGTACTGGTGAATATAAAGTACACAATCTAAACATTTTAGATGAAGCAATGACTTATTTGATTGATGTTGGTGGTGTGAGTTTACGATTATTTGGATTAGGCGGTGCTATTGTACACCATAAACTATTTGACATTGGGGAAGGCAAGTTTTTATTTAGGGAAAATATCTTTTCAGTTCTAGAATAACTTATACGCACGTCCACATAACTTATATTTGTATATCTATGTTATAGGTACTGGAACTATAGCTGGTGGTCAGGGAACTATGTGGACAACAATTTTACAAATTGGTAAATTGGTTGATACTGCTCAAAGAGTAAGATTATTATTATCATTTTCATTTTGCTTCCAAAAATATTTAAATTATAAAGTAAATCTTATATATTTATGATTTTTAGGTATTTGATGGTAGTGAAACAAGAGTGCTTGTAACACATGCTAGTCCTGGTCGTGAAGGTCTTTTAGCACAATTATCAATTATGTTACGTGTAAGTTTAATGAGATAACTTATTTAATTAATTTAAAATTTAAATATAATACTCAAATAGGTATATGTTCTCTATCTTTATAGGCTGACTTTACCATATCAGCAGGTCTTCATTTTCGTTATGGTATTTCTTATAATGAATTTTCTGTACAAGCTGACCAAGAAAGTTTCCGTCAGAAACTGGAGACATCTCGAATAAATTTTTATGAGACTTGGAAAACTGTTAAAAATCAAGTAGAGAATCGTATTGAGTATGTAATTATAAATATAATTACTATTTCTATCAGTGAATTTGATGATGGTGGTGATGATGGTGATGAAAAAAATATATTATTAATTGTTGTTTAGGAGATCATTAACTTGAATTTTTTTATATTAAGCGAATCACAAAAACAATTGTTGCAGAATGCACTTAGTGTTGTTGATCGTGTGCCTTTACCTTCCAAAGAAGAATATTCCTTTAAAAATATGTGGAATTTTAACTTACCAGACGCTCAATTTGGTTGGGTTTCATTGGGTATTAAGGATGGCAGAATTTCAGCTGAAACGAAAGCACAAGGTTATTTTTATATATATATATATAAATTGTAATGAGATTATTATTATTAATTATTAATTTATCGATTTATTTTTGTTTAGGGTTTAATTTCGCTTATCGTAGAAATAATACTTCTGCAATATTAAATATGAATAACATTCCTGGTAATTCGCAAACTTCGGCAATTGTTGAACCAAATAGTCCTATTACCACTACAGCTGATCGTCATGTTAAGCGTCCACAACCATCTCCTATCATTCATCCTCAAATTATAACCAATGGTATAACCAATAATAATACAATTACGCAATCTCCATTTTTGACAGCACAAAGATCTTCATCACCAGTACCGATAGCGCTCAATGATGATAATAATAATAAACCACCTTGGAATAACAATAATGGTTATGCTTCATCTCCAAATGAAAATGGATCTTCCCCAAAAATTATAGCGAATAATAATAATAGTAATAATAATAATCTCAATAATCATAATCATAATCATAATCATCATCTTAATAATTACAATAATAATAACAATGTTAATCACAATCATAATAATCATAATAATTATAATAATTATTCTGAACATTCTTTACTAACAAAACAAGGTGATAGTGATAATGGTAGTAGTAGCAGTACAAATGAGACATTGATTTCTACCAATGGTAATACCGTTATTGATGAAAATTCAATTGTTAATGACAACAGTAACAATAATAACAGTAATTATAATGGTAATTCAGAAAATGGCAACAGCAACAACAACGATAATAATTATAAAAATATTAATAGTAGTTTATCAGAAAATATAAATGACGAATTACCACCATCACAAAATTGGGCGGATCAAACTCAAAGCGAATGTGATAATAATGATGATGGTGGCGAGGGAGGCGATGAAGGTGATGAGGAGGAAGAGGAGGGTGATGGTAATGACTCTGCATCAAATAATAACAACAATAACGGTAACAGTAAAAACAACAGCAACAATAATAATACTAAAAATGATAATTATGATAATCGTCATAAAAATAAGGTCACCCACTATTATTTAAAAAATTCTTATTATGAATATTCATTTTATTTAATATTAATATTTTATTTTTTTTATTTAATAGAGAAGCCCATATTCTATATATGTTGGTAATATACCCAGATCTATTACTACTGATGAAGAAGTGAAAGAGCACTTTACTGCAGTTGGTTGTCAGGTAAATCTATAATAACAATGACAATAACAATTATCATTACTATCTTTATAATTGTAAATTATAAAATAATTTTTTTTAAAGGTTGAAAAGGTTAGATTAATGAACGATAAGGTGACACAACAAGCAAGAGATTTTGGTTTTATAGATTTTATAGATGCTGATTCAATTGATAAAGCGTTGACATTGAATGGCCAGGTAAATAATAATAATAATAAATCTATGCAAATATATAGTATAATATAACTTATATATATAATTACTTATTTTATTCGTTAATTTGTTTGTTTTCTACTAAAAACGCATGTAAATAGCCATTTAAGCAGAACCAGTTAAAAATTCATAAAGCTGATCCATATCATGATAGTCGAGGAAGAGGACGTGGTATTCGTGGTAAGGGTCGTTTCATGAATCGTTATCATCGTGGCGGTGGTCATGGAAATAATTCACACAATAATAATAATAATAACAACAACAATAATGATAATAATAATACGCAAAAATAGTAAGATTTAATTAGTATGCAAATAAAAATAAACAATATATTTCATTTTTATATATAAATAAATAAATTTTGTATAATTAGTTTTTTTTTGGATATTATATTTTATATTTACTACTTCATTTTATTTATATTATATTGTTTATTTTATTATTTATTTATTTATTTATTTATTATTTTATTTATTAATTAAAAAATAAAAAAATTTTTTTAATTCTGAAATAATATTTTTTCATGTTTATCAACAACTTTAAGAAAATATTTTGGTGGTAAAATTCCATCATTTCCTGCTGTTAATATTACTCCGTTGGAGGATTTATAAAATTCAATATTATCTTTTTTTATTGAAAAAAAATTTTTATTAAAAAAATTTTAAAAATCAAAATTAATTAATTAAATTATTACCGACCTTCAATGGCCTTACTCATATCAATATATATAAATAAATCACAATTGTGTCTCATTCCTAATAAAAATACAAAGTGGGCAATTCATTAATCATAAATACCTTATGTAAAAATATAAATTATTAAAGTATATCAATTTTACCGCTTTTAACATCTTTATCACCATAAAGTCCAGTTGCAAAATGAATATGAGCACGTTTCATCTTGGAAAGACCTTGTGATTCTACATATAAATTGACGAAATAATGAATGGCGGAATAATGAAAGGAATAAGCAAATTTTCATGATACAAAATATACATACCTATATCTTTCCAATTTTTTAAATATGTTCCATGTACAACATTTAGATATTGTGTGGAATCTGTTATTTTTTCTAATTCTAAATCATTTACCTTTACAAAAAAAAATATATAATTATAATAAATCCTCAAATCGTCATCACCATAATAATAATAATGATGATGATGATGATAATCAATTAGTAACCTCTAAAGTATGTCCTTGGTTAGCTCTTATCCACCATTCAGTTATATTATCATCTGATGTCTCTTGTTTCAAAGTAAATCTTTGCTTATCATTTTCTTTTACTAATTTTTTAATTTCTTCAAAAGTTCTTCCTTTAAATCTTGGTAATTTAAACTATCGTTTTATAATTTTTTGAATTAATAGAAAATTTATTTAATTTATTTATTTACTAATTTTTCCCCTACCAATTCCTCTAATTTGATATACCCATCATCACGAATATTTAAGCCTTCTTTCGTTGCTCCATGTCGTAAAACATACGATAAAGATTTCGAAAGTTTTATATCATGTCTTTCATCGCCGCCGCCATCACCTCTTCCACGACCTCCACGACCTCCACGGCCACCTCCACGATGGCTTTTTTTATCTTGGCTAAATTGTCTAGATGACATTATTTTAAAAGGCTAATCATGTTTAATTGTTGATTTTTTTGGATTTTTTTGGAAAGAAATTTCTATTTCGAGAGATGTAAAAATTGACTTGCTGATCTTTCAAAGGTCATAAAACTCACGTTTTTTTCTTGCTTGTTTTTTAATTTGTATTTAATTTTCTCTACTATCTTCTTCCGTGCCGTGTTGAGACAAACACGAATTTAAGAAGAATAAGAAAAAATCAATATGTATCTATTTTTTGTGAAAAGACAAAAATATATGTCATCCATCGTTATATTTTAAGAACTATTACCGTTGATGAGGATGAGGGAGATCTTGGCAAACAATAAATATGATAAAGAATTACTTTTTCGATTAATTAATGAGAATGATCTTTGACAAATAATAAAAAACCATTAATTTTTTAATGAGAAAGATTTTAGCAAACAATAAAGAACTATTGCTTTTTCGATCGACAAAAAAAAACATTTTGATCCGTGTAGTGAGTAGCATGTCGATATTTAAAATACTCGTGTTATTGTGGCCTTTAAAGGACAATACAAACGATTATTTCAATGCTAAATCGGAAAGGCGTATATATATATATGTTAAAAGGAAAAATCTTGTCGTCTCAAATCTTTAACTCTTTAATAATTATTATTATTTAGGATACCTTTATTTGTTTTCAAATACTTGTATTATTTATAATTATCAAAATATCACTACAATCATCGTCGTCATTTTCTTTTTCTCGATTATTTCGCTATTACCAAAATTGAAAAAAATGACGTCAATTTTTACTGCCTTCTGTTGCAGTTCCACAGTCAGGTCTGTCACCGGAACTGCAATCTACAGGAGTGATAAGAAAAGTAAAACTTACAAAGACATCGTTTTCGGCACCAATCAAATTTTCAAAACATTCTATCGTCCTTTGTCTAAAAATACATTTATGAAACGACAAGGAGTATGACTGTTTTAAAATTTACTTGAGAGGGTGTACTTGCAAGAAGGCTCTCGTGTGACGTTCTTGAACGACAAATTGTTAACGAGAATACATGCAATGAAGCCATTGTTATTGAAAGATGATCGATGACAAAAGTGTCAAAGTGACGTTTCCGATCCTGAAAAGTATAAGCAAATAAAAGGAAACTTCCCATTTGAAGTTGATGGCAAAATTGCATTTCCAGATCACAAGACCCAAGGTTTAAACCTTATACCGCACGTGACGTTAAATGTTGATGAAAACATGTTTGTGGAAGGTCAGGTGTACGTTGTGATTAGCCGAGTGGATAAGTTGCACATCCTGGGCTTTGATTATTCCCAGCTGAAGATTTCCAAGAGGTTGTGAACAGCAATCGTTGCAGTCGTTATAAATAATAATACCAATAACAACAACAATAATAATAATAGTCGTTTGCCCCCTCCTTGATGATCGTGTAAAAAAAAAAAGAATATGAATTTCTTTAATATTAATGTTAAACAACCGTAATAAATAATAGTCGCTTGTCCCCTCCCTCCTTGATGATCGTGTAAAAAAAAAAAAAAAAGAAGAATGAATTTCTTTAATATTAATATTAAACAATCGTTATAAATAATAGTCGCTTGTCCCCTCCCTCTTTGATGATCGCGTAAAAAAAGAATAAGTGAAAAAGTTGAATTCCAATGAAAAGTCTGTGAAACGTGAACTCGACAACGCCCGATCTTTTCTTTTTTGATTATGAATTAATAATTGAATTAAAAATTGTATAGATGATAAAAATCTATATACAAAACATCTAAACATCGTCACACTGATAATAACAAACAATAATAAATACTCCTTTCTTTCCTTTTGGATAAACAAATTTTTTTTTTTTAAATAAGTAAATAACTATAATGAAATTTGGTAGTCAACTTGATGCAGCTTTATATGGTGAATGGGCAGAATTTTACCTGGACTATAATGGTCTAAAGAAACATTTAAAGTTAGGGGAGAAAAAGGAAGCTGGTTATACAGAAAAAGACGAATCTGCTTTTGTAGAATTGTTGGATAAAGAATTAGAAAAGGTATAAAAGTTATTTTATAAATATAGAGATAACTATAATTATTTTAATTATTTTGATAATAATTTAATAATATTATTTTTTCAAAGATTTATGCCTTTCAAAATTCCAAATACGAGGAAATTAAAGGTCGTGTTCAACATTGTGAAAATGCAGTCGAATCAATAAGTAAAAGCCCTTCAATGAATATTCCTGATAGATATGCAGAAGTTGAACGCGAGATTAATTTTATCACTGAAGAATTGAATGAGCTCGCAAAATATGCAAGATTAAATTATACTGGCATTATCAAAATTGTAAAAAAACATGATAGGTAAAAATTATGATTTTTTAATTTAGTATAAATATTAAAATCTGATTTATCATTTTAACTATTTATATATATGTGTGTGAACTTTTACGTATCATATCATATAAATTAGGCGAACACATTACATTCTGCGTCCTATGTTTAATGTTCGTTTGAATGCATGTCCTTTCTACAAAGAAAATTATGAACCTATTATTATACAACTTTCACGTTTATACCACATCGTTCATCAAAGATTAGGAAATAATGATCAATTCTTGAGCTCAACACCAAATTTTCAATCTATGTCTAATTCATGGAAACCACAAACAATAATGCCAGCACAAGAAAGATTGTTGAGACAGTCTCGTAAATACTGGGTCCATTTGAATAACATCATGGAAGTTAAAACCACTATTCTCCGTCACTTACCAGTTATACTCTATAAAGCTGGCTCTGACTCATCTGTGACCTCAATATACTTTGACAATGAACCATTTGAGCTGTACCAAGATAAAGTCGACCGTAAACCTGGCGATCAAATAATCAGGTTACGTTGGTATGGAAATAAATCAAATGGTGGCGTCTTTCTTGAAAGAAAAATCTATGAAACGGGGGATGATGAAATAAAAGATCGATTCCTTATCAAAAAAAAATATGTGGATTCATTCTTAAAAGGCACATATTCAATGGAAAAAGTTATCAAGAAAATGAAAGAAACTCCCGGAAGAACAGATGCCGACGTTGAACAATTTGTGAAATTGGTCAAAGATATTCAAAACACTATTCAAGATAAAAATCTACAGCCTGGTAATCTATATTATTTATAATAATAATGATAGATTTTTAAATTTACTTTTTAAAAAAAATTTAAAATTAATCATTATCATCACTACCTCCCGTTATATTTAAGTTCTTCGCACATATTATAATAGAATGGCATTTCAAATTCCCGGTGATAACCGTGTTAGGATTTCTCTTGACACAGATTTCTATATGATAAGGGAGGACAATTTTGATATTATACGTCGTCGTGAAGGTGAATGGCGAAGATCAGACATTGAAGATGATAGATTTGACAAGTTACCATCATCTGAATATGCCAAATTTCCTTATGCTGTATTGGAAGTTAGACTTAATGCGAATGGTAATGAACCAGGCTGGGTACAAGAATTTCTTGGAAGTCATTTAGTTGAGGAGGCTCCTCAATTTTCAAAATATGTTCACGGTGTTGCCACATTATTCACTGCTGAAGCTCCCTCCTTACCATATTGGGTATGTAATTGCCCGTCCATTTTTATTTCTGCACATACATACATATACACGTTTTTTTTTTTAACTAAATAATTTAAAATGTTTTTTAAAAAAAAACCACAATAATTTGAAAATAGCTACCAAATATGGATAAAGATATTCTTAAACCACCAAGCACTCATAATATATATGATGATTTATCTACTGAAACTCCAGCTTCTTCATCCAATTATATTTCCTCAAGAAGATTTAAACAAACCATACCAAATAGTGGTATTATCAATGTTGAAGTGGTTGGAAAAAATCAAATCAGTAGCAGAAATAAGGGTAAAGCTGTCGAAGTATATAATCCTGACGAAGAGGGAGAAAATATTATTGACGAGAATGCGCCTTTGCTTGGAGGAGAAGAGGGAGGAGAAGAAGGTCAACAAGAATCGATAGTTCTCAAGACATTTAATAAATTATTTCATAGACGCAGTCATTCTAAAACTAAATCAGTCATACTACCACCAAATGTCAGAATTCCTCAAGTAATAAACACACAAATACGCGTAGAGCCTAAAGTTTATCTTGCAAATGAAAGAACATTCTTTTCCTGGATGAGATTTAGTGTATTATTGGGTTCATTTGCTCTTGCATTATTCAATGCCAGTGGTACTGAAAATAAAGCTGGTAAATTTTGTGGTGTCCTTTATGCATTAATAAGTGTCTCTGTTTTAATATATTCATTAATCAAATACAATAAAAGAACTAAAATGATTAATGAAAGGAAGCCTGGTCCGTATGGTAAGTAATAATTTTTATTTTGTTTTGTTTGGGTGAATTTTATTTAATAATATTGATCATTCCATATCAATTAACAATACTTTTTTATTTTTAAAAATAATTATTTAGATGATATTGTTACACCTATTATAGTTTGTATTGCACTTTTTATTGCTGTTGGACTTAATTTTTACCTTAAACTCCCAAGAGTGATTGAAAGCAGTCGGGAAAATGTTAATATTAATATTCCTGAGCCAATTACATCAGCATAAACCATCCATCATTTTTTCTAATTTTATATATATAATCATGTATTTTTAAAAATAAACTTCTAATGCACGACAATATCTTAATAAAGTAACTATTTCATAATCTAATTGACTTAATATGGGATGATGATCACATAAAATTAATAATATCTCTGTCATAATTATCATCAAATTCTCTAATTTATTCATACATTATGCATGACTTGATTGATTTATTTTCTGATGTAAATAATTTCGAGTTGTTTAAAGGCAACTACAACAACAAAGAGCAACAAAGAATCAAGAGCTTTGTATTTCCTAAAAATCAGATTCAAACAGCATTCACCAAAGCAGACACTGTATGGAAAAAATATTATCAAGAAAAGAATGAAGGAGAAAGGAGACTTGTAAATTATATGGGTAGTTATTATCTGCAATCCACATCAAAAATAAATAAATAAATAAATAAATAAATAAACAAATAAATAAATATTATTATTAATTTTTTAAATTTCCTCATAGATACATTAATTTATGCTCTTCAAGTGATATGGGAAATAAACTTTACACCTAATAAAATATTATGGCTTAGATTAGTATTAAAAAAATCAGAAGCATCAGTAGGAACAATGGAATTGACATTATTTTATATTATGAGATTTAAAAAATTTTTTAACCACATGAAAGATCCAAATACCAAACATTTTCATACCAATCTACCATCATTAACATCATCATCTAATGAAACAACAACATGTTACAAGAAAAATGACTTATCATGGCATGATAAGAATTATTGCCCAGGTGCATTGGTGAAAAAAAACCCTTTATCACTTCATCCACATATAGCATTCGTGTCAGCATTAAGATTAGCTTGCAAATTTTTACACGATGTCTACTATGGTAGCGGTAAGAGATGGGCACAAATTACAGGATTTTCAGCAAAAGAATTAAATATGTACGAATGGTTTTTTTTCAAAATGTTGGATTATAATATTACCGTTGATATGGAAACTTTTATTAATTGGTCAAAATTCTTGCATGATAACATTTGTGCAATATCAGGTAAAATTCCTGATGATTATAACATTTATTCTAAAGAAAATAATTTATCTGCTATTGAAATATTTGGAATATCATTAGAACAATATTATCTATAAATATATAAATATATAAATATATATATATATATATAATATTTAATTCCAAATTTTATATAATGATCATTAAAAATATTTAGACTCGACTACTTGAAAAATTATCCCATGGAAAAAATATTTTATTATTGTACCCATGTAAAGAAAAGTTTCTAAAATTTTATTTGGAAGATGGGTTTGTAAGTTGTTTCCGAAAATTGTTTTTCGGAAAAAAGTAATTACGGCAACCATTTCGGCTTTTCAATATTATTTATATGAATGAACTATGCTATTTAGATTAAAGGGTGGTGTATCTTTGTTCTATTAGACCCCTTTTTGGAATTTACGGCTTTAAGCGTTGTTTGAAGAATTTGTTAATGAGATAATTGTTGTTTGACTTCATATCTTTTGTTTGTTTCATGTTTACATAAGGTTCCGAGCGGATGATATGAATATGAATTCGGATTGATCCGAATTGATGACATTTTAATATATTAAATATTAAATATTAATATTAATAAAAGATTTTTAGTAATGATCGGCAGGGTGCTGTCATTATTGCGTTTGTCATTTTTATTACACATTATTTTAGAAATGTGTTGAGATTATGGGTAGCATTATTAAAAAATTTTGTTGCTTCCCTTCTTAAAAGGGATCACGAATTAAATTATAGAAGAAACATAGTGTCTAAAAATAAACAAAATAAACTTCAATTCAGCATTTAAAAGTTATAATACGTAACACAAGTTATTTTTAATATGGCGCGAGCGGTCTAAAGATCTCCTAAATTTTCAAAAGTGTAGAATTCCACATCTTAATTCTATCAATTGATTGATAGATAGAACAAGTCTCTAGTCTTAGATTTCCTCAAAAAATTATTTGTTATTCTTTTTAGTCTATTACCATGTATGTTCGCAAGGGATTTGCAAACGCGTATTCAAATATAAATAAAGTTTTACAATGCCTCCTGATATATAAGTCAATTGTTTATCAGAGAATTTCTGATATTTTCAAAATAAGTCCTACCAATTCCTAACATATTAAAATATGTTTGTGGCAGTGTATTATGATCCCAGTGATAGAAAGTTCCTTTATTAGACCTGGCCTTCTTTTTAAGGCGTCTACTAGTGGCTATTGACCCATAATTCATTGCCTTAAGTTGTCGCATTAGAAATATGTCTTGTTTTGATTTAGAGATGCTTTGAAATATACACGTGGCCGCAACCTTCTCACGTGACTTTCAGCCAAGCCAATAAATTCCACTAAATTCTAGTGAAATTAAAACTATTTACTACATTTGGGAATTCCAGAGGTGCCGGGATTAACGATTACTTTCCGTTAATCTATAAAATGACTACTACACCACATCATCAGGGGAGACTTTTGTTTTCTTTGGCAATGAATAAAATTTGGGATTTATTTGTAAATGCAGATAATGAAATGACTGAAGTATCGTTCAAAGGATTTATAAAAACATTGATGAAAATAAGAAGTTATTGCCTCCTTTTACATTTCTCTTGGATCTTACATCATATTCGTCAGAATAAAATTTACAGTCAAAGCATTAATCAAAAAAGAAAAATAATTAAACCAGATAAATAAATATACATATCTTATAATGAAAAGGCATTTTCATTATAAAGAGAAAGAGGATTGATATTCGAACCCTTTCGTTAATAGGTAAATCCCTTACGTCAAGAGGATTCTATTCAAATCACTCTTTACGAAGAGGCGGAAGACTTATATATTCTAGAGTCTACCTCCCCCTCAAAATAAAGATTAGGAAACCATTACCTGAAGATGCCTAACTTTGTTATGTCATAAAAATTCTGAAATGAATATGGTTTGATTATTAATATTCTCAATATTCTTATCTTTCAACAAAGATTAAAGGTCGAAAGACCACTATGATATAATTTTGATCTACATAGTTGGCTAACCATCCCAACGAAGAATGTTGTTGTTAGAATTATATATTATTTGTAATAGTATTTATGAAATTTTAGGGTAAAGAAACAATCAATACAACTTTGTGAGTGTTTGGCTCTTTTTCTTGTGGCAATGAATATCAAGTTTTAAAATGTATATCATAGAAATTCTGCTATAACCTACTAATTATAAAACCATAGTAAATGATAGGCTAACTGGTAAATATTATTATTAAATACATCAATAAATTTAAAGTGTTAATAATCTTCATCCTTCCTCTACATTATTTAACAAAAAAAAAGTTGAAACAGCAAGTAATATATATTATTATCAACTTATATGAAACACATATCTGCAATTAATGATAATTGGTTTCTTGATTTAAAACAAAATATTTTATCTATTCAAAATTTGTAAAAAAAAACTTTTTTCTTGTAAAAAATATTAAATATTAAATTGTTCAATTAATAATACTTGTCTCTTTAAATCATCATGAGTTTTCTTATTAAAAACATTTCCTCAAATTCTTCCATGATATCTGCTTTTAAGCTTTTCCCATACTAGAAATTTAAAAATATCAATATATAAATTATATAAATTATATTCTAATTAGGAAAAAATTTTTTATTGGTTGCTTACATGCATAAGCATCTTCAATTAAAGTGATTTCATGAAAATGCCTTGTATTAGGTATTCCCAAACATCCATACCATGTGCATGCCTCCATTCCTATAAATATTAGTTCAAAAAAATTTTTTTATATTATTTAAATTGTGCTATTTTAAATATCAAATAAAAGATAATCATAGTTTCTTTATTAACCTGAAAATGTCTATCAAATGCTTTTCTACCCATATAGACACAATTACCACAAATCTCACATGGATATTCTATACCAAGTCCGTGTAATTTATAAAGCCAGTATGGAATTGGTTTACCATCCCATCCTAATGGCAACACCTAAGTGGATTATAAATTTTATCTTCATCTTCTGACTCGCTTCCAATATCATTAACTTCTTCAGACTCCAATTTCCATCTATTTATTATATTTATTTAGGGAAAAAATAATTATATTTTAATTAGAATAATTTATAATAATGTTTTAATTTAATTCATTGATTGATTGATACATTACTCTACATTCTCTATCAGTCAATGCATGTTTCTTTCAACATTTGCTTTGGTATCTTCACATTGAGTGTTTGATTTTTCTGAATATTTTTGTATCAGGGCTTCTAAAAATGCAACTTCACGTTTTTGCTTACTTTATTTTCTTCAAAATCCTTTTGTAGTCTCATAATCCACTGTTGTAACATCCTTTTCTATTATTGTATTTGCAGCTTTAATGTGTTTTTTTACTAATTAAATGTGCGTCGTAGACAGTTGTCTTTGAATATGATTTACGACTTATAAATTAATTAAAAAATAAAAATGAAAATAAAAATGATAGTAATCCTCAGCAAGATAACTATCACATCACATACATGCTACCCAACTTTTTTTTCCCAACCAGGAAATTTTCCTGAGACCATTTCTCATTAAATTCTTTTCTACTACATTACGTATACTTTCTAGATTGGATAAAGGGTTGACCCTTTTTGAAAAAAACTTTCCAAGTAATCACGCAAATCTTTCAAGTATCTATAATCAAAATAAATATCATAAATTTTAATATATATAAATATTATATTTTAATTCTAGAAATTTTTACTTGAAATATTCTCCATTTTTATTTTCTTTTGGATAGTCTGAGGAATGTTCAAATTCGATTAAAAAAGTTAAATAATCAATCTTTTTTTACATTTTTTAAATTCACATATTGTTTATGGATAGAATGTAAATCTAAAAATTTTCCATGGCCTTCTTCACCAGAAAACTGTTTTTCAAGTTCTAATAAAAATAATTTTTCCAAATATTGAAATATTATTACAATTGATAAATAAATAAATAAATATATTAATGAATAAAATTAATGATTTATTTACCGTCATCTTTTGTTTTTGTTTAGCTTGATGAAAATTCCAATTCCAATGGCTCAACTGTTTCATTGGATAACGCTGATGATAATCTTTTGGTTGATTTAAATCTTGCATAAATTATGAAGAGCATCTATTTCAGTTTTACGTGCTCTTTTTCAAGACCAGTTAAAAGTTGAAATAGATTTATTCTTATATTAACAAAAGCTTTTAAATAATTGAAAATTTACCCATCAGTATCATCATATAATTCACATAAAAATTTACTTCTATTCTATCTAAAAAATCATTGACTCTATGTTCTTATACTAGTCTATCTTTATGCTAATAATAATAATTATTATTGTTATTGTTATTGTTATTGTTATATATATATTAATTAAAGAGATAAATATAATTTTTTTTATTAATATATAACAAAAACAAAAACTGCAAACCAACCGATTTTGGATCTAATCGCTCAATTTCTTTCTTTGTATACTTTACCATTTTTTGTAAAGTTAATGACTGCGCCTTATTCTAACACTAGTCTAATTTTAGAAAATATCTACAGTGTTGCAACTTAGTTCATGTAACATCGATTGTCAAAATATCAAATAAAAAATTTTTTTCATCATTACCATCAAAAGAAGGCATCAATTAACTTGGTATCAACTCATTAACATTTTGTAAATAAATATTTAATGTATAATCTTATAATTTAAATCGAATAGAAAATATAATAAAACATTTCTTATTTTTTTTACATGAAAAATTATTTTTTTTTTAGAAAATAAAAAATGAAGGATATCTATAAGGATGAAGAACTTGATATACCTGAAGGGATAGAAATTTCCATAAAAGCACGTGAGGTGACAGTTAAAGGACCGCGTGGTGAATTGAGGAAAGGGTTTCAACATATCAATTTGGAAATACAACATCTTAAGAAAGCCAAAAAGATTAAACTTATTGTTTGGCATGGAACTCGTAAACATGTTGCCTGTTTACGTACAGTCAAAACGCATATTAAAAATATGATAATTGGAGTCACAAAAGGATTTGAATATAGGATGCGCTATGTTTATGCACATTTTCCAATCAATGTTCATATTGATGGAAGTGACGTTGAAATTCGTAACTTTATAGGTGAAAAAGTTATTAGACGAGTCAAAATGTTGGAAGGTGTTAAGATTGAAATTTCAACTGGTCTAAAAGATGAATTGATTCTAACTGGTAATGATTTAGAAAATGTCTCGCAATCAGGTAAATAAATAAATAAATCTTTAATTAATAATTGTCAATTTTTTTTGTTGATGCACCTTGAAATATTAATTAATATATATCATTATTTTGAAAAGCTGCCGATATTCAACAATCAACCACTGTTAAAAATAAAGATATTAGGAAATTTTTGGATGGTGTTTATGTTAGTGAACGCAGTACAGCAGTAAAAGACCAAAATAATTAATTATTTTTAAAATAAATTATTTCTAATTAAATAAATACTAAGAATTAAGGGAAGAATTAAATATGCTTGATGTCACATGACTGCTAGATGTTCATTCACTCAAAATAATCTTTTCGTCAAACTCTTTACTGTTCCACCATTTTAATTCAGAACGCGAATTAACACGTCTTTTTTTACTTTTTATTATTTTTTTGATAAAATAAATATCAAACATATAAAATTTGTTGCATACTTGTATATGTAAATATGCCACAGCAAACTAAGAATTCTAAAAAGTTCGTTACTCCAGTTAAAGGTACTCAAACTTCTCTTTGGTCCTTTATCAAGAAGGAGCTGCCTTCTCCAGCTACTGATTCCGAGACTCAAGATTATAATAAACTATCAGACAACACAAAACTGTCTGATGACCCCATGACTCCAAAGTCAATGAAATCAAAGGCAGTTAAGAAAGGCGCAGAAGTTTTTATGCAAGAAGCTGAGGAGAAAGAGGGTAGTAGCGGCGAGCTGGAAGGCTTAGAACTTGATACGCCTGTATTAGGAAATAGAATTTTGAGGGTTATTATTATTTTTTATAGATAATAAAATTGATGCATTGATTTATTGTATTGAGATAAATTTATTCACGTTTTTTTTTTATATAGAGAAATAGTAAAGCTTTTAAACGAAGACTTATTTTTTCATCTGGCGAAGAGGATAACGAAGATGAAAATGATATAAACTTTATTGAATCACCTTGTATGATTACATTTTATTAAATTATTAATCATATATTATTGTTCTAATTTCTAAAGCTAAGATTTTATCTCAATTAAACATTAGTAAAAAATAAATCAATTTCCCAGCATAAAAAATCTAAAAAAGCCAATAATAAAAATGATGAAGAGGATGAAGATGAATACATGGAAGACTTTATTGATGACACACTTGAAAAAAGCAGTGACGATGATAATGGTACTTTATAGTTATTTAATTAGCATCATCTGATCTTTCAAAATAAAAATTTCATTAAAAGGTTATTTAAATGCCAATAGGTAACGATTATGAAAATGATGACGGCGAAGAATCTCCAAGCAATTATAAGAAAGTGATTAGAAAAAATCAAAAGAAACCACCTAAATACAAACCATTAAGCAAGAAATTTAAGGTTTGATAAAGAATTTAATCTACTTAGCACATGGCAATGAAATAAATAGTTAAAAAAATTTATTTTTACTTTTTTAAAAAAATTAGTCATTTGCATCAACTGATAACAACGATTTAGATATAACAGAATCAGGAACCAAAAAAAAAAAGGTAATAGTTTATGATATTTTTGCCAAAATTTGTTTAATAGTTGTAGACTTTGATACCTTTAACTATTTTCAACAATTGATAAAATTTAGAAAGAAGATAAAAGATATGATTGGCTTGAAAAAGTTCGCGATGCAAATGGAAATCTCGAAGGTATGATTTTTAGTTCATCTATTACTTTTTTATAAAGATTGTTGTGCAATTTTGACCAATTTGTGATTCCTGTGTAATAGGATCACCTAATTATGATTCACGTTCGTTATTCATACCAAAAGAAGCTTGGGATAAATTTACTCCGTTTGAAAAACAATTCTGGGAAATCAAATGCAAACATTGGGATACTGTATGCTATTTATATTTATTTTATCGTAGACATATTAAATTATCTTATCCATTAGTCAATTATTTAAACCAATTAACCCAATCTATTTATCTATTGAACAAATTTCTTTAACTAACATATGATATTCTGTTTTGTTTGGATAAATAGATTGTATTTTTTAAGAAAGGGAAATTTTATGGTAAATAATAATAATTTTATGTGCCGAGGATTATTTGTAATTGATTGATTATATCAATGTGTATACTTATATTTTAAATCGAATCTTTCCATAGAATTATATGAACGTGATGCTCTTATAGGTCATTCTGAATTTGACTTGAAACTAACTACACGTGTCAATATGTGTATGGTTGGTGTCCCTGAGGCATCAATTGAACATTGGTCTGCAAAATTTATTGCTAAAAGGTTAGTTATTTAAAATTTTTATTGAGGGTAAATTAATGGTCACATTATTTATAATTATGAAAAATTTTTTGTATCTAGTCATAAAGTTGCTAAAGTAGATCAAATGGAAACTGCTCTTGGCAAGGAAATGAGAGAAAAGGCTACCAAAACCAAGGTAGTTTTTGCAAATTAATTGAAAATTATTGTTATAGTGTGTGTATATACATATGTATATTAAAAAAATAATAATTTACAGGAGGATAAAATAATTCGTCGTCAACTTACGTCAATTTTTACTGCCGGTACTGTTGTAGATGGTGGATTATTGACCAATGATATGTCAACATATTGTATGTCAATTAAGGTAGTAACGATAATAATTTGATTGCTTATAAGTTTGAATCATTTATTTTATATTATACTATTATTAATAAGATATTTATTTTAGGAACATTGTCCTACTGAAAATAGTCTTCCAAGCTTTGGAATTTGCTTTGTTGATACCTCAATTGCAGAATTTAATTTCACGTCATTCCAAGATGATATTGATCGAACTCATTTTGAAACATTGATCATGCAAGTTAAGCCAAAGGAAATTGTTTATGAAAAAGTATTTAATCTATTATTTATTTTAATTTTTAATTCTTTAATAAGATTTACTGTTCTTTAAACATAAAAACTAAACAATCATCTGTACCCACTATATTAGAAAATGCTCAGTAAATCTTCACTTCGTATCATCAACTCATGTATTCATTCTCCAGTAATGAATGCCTTGATTCCTGGAAAGGAATTCTGGGATGATTCTAAAACCTTAGATGAGTTAAGATTGTCACGTTACTTTGTCAACAAACCTCAAAATACTTCGAGTGATAATGAAGAGGACGATGAAAATAATATGGAAATTGATTATTCCACCGTAGAAAATTGTTACGATATGAGTATGTATTATATCTAATTAATATTAATCATATAATTATTTTGATTCGAAAAGATTTTTTTTTAATTTAAATTAAAGAAAATTGGCCAAAAGTTATTCAAGAAGCTTGTGGAAAACCTTTGTTATTATCTGCATTTGGTGGTAAGGTTGATTTTTTTTTGTTGATTTAAAAAGTATTTCTTAAATTTTCACATTTATTGATTCTTTACTAAATTAAATAGGTCTTATTTGGTACTTGCGTTTGGTAAGCAAATATGTCAATATGCACATACATATATAATTAAATTTAAAAATTTAATTATATATCAAATGTATTAATAATAATTTTATTACAATGAACAATATTTAGTTAAAGCTGGATAAAGAACTTATATCAGTTAAAAATTTTCACAATTATGACCCAATTCGTCATGCTACGTCACTTATACTTGATGGACAAACTCTTGCCAATCTTGAAATTTTTGAAAATAATATGGATGGAAGTGATAAAGGAACTGTTTTTAATTTGCTGAATCATTGTGTCACATCATTTGGTAATTTCCTTTATTCATTATAAGAACAATCATTAGACTCAAATATACTATAATGTATATATATTATTAATTTATATTATTATTATTATTTTAATTTATAATGTAATAGGTAAACGTACTTTCAAACAATGGTTGTGTCATCCACTTCTTTCAGTTGATAGAATTAATGAACGCCTTGATACTGTTGGAGAGTTGATGAAAACTCATGGCTTTGGTGATATATTTTATGAAAACTTTTCTAAATTTCCTGATCTCGAACGTTTGATTAGCCGAATACACGCAAAGTCATGTAGAGTGAAAGAATTTGTAATTGTATTGGAATCTTTTGAGAAATTAGCGGTTTGTGTTATTTCTGAAGTAAAAAAAAGAAAAATCTATTACAAAGATCTAATTATAAATGATATATTATATGTAATTGTAATTTTTTTTTAATTAAATTTATATAGAAAACCATGGACGAATTACGCAACCTTGTTAATGATTTTAGTTCTGTTAGATTAATTCAGTTAATGAACAATTTGCCAGATTTAAATTCAGAACTTTCATATTTTATGGATGCATTTGATTATAAAACTGCTAGCGAAAAAGGTATTATTAAATTGTAACAATAATAACAATAACACGTATATTATGCACATATATTTGATTTATATAGTCCATGATTCTAATTAAATTTGTGAATTTAATTCTCTTGTTAAATTGTATATAGGTGAATTAATACCAGCCAAAGGAATTGACGCAGAATTTGATAGGATCAATGAAGTATTGAAAAAGATTGAAAAGCAATTGGCTGATCACTTGTCAGCCATGAAAAAGAAATTAGGGTAAATTGGACAGGCATTTCTATAAATTAAGTTGAATTTGAAGATATATATATTTATAATATTTTTTTTTATAAAATGAAAATAGATGTGATAAACTTGTTTACAAAAATGTTGGCAAAGAAATTTATCAAATTGAGGTACCAAATAATATTCAAGTACCAAATGATTGGCAAAGACTTTCACGTACTCAGGTAAATTATAGTTATCTAATTAAATGTTGACCAGTTTTATATATTGTTGATATTGAATGTTTATTAAATTTCTAGAAAGTATGTCGTTATTGGAATGCAGATCTGCAAAAGCTTATTAGAAGTTTTCAGGAGACTTTAGAATATAAATCTAATATCCTTAAATCTTTACAAGGGAAGTTTTACGAAAAATTTGACATAAATTATCAAGATTGGTTGCTCTCTGTTAAAATCGTTGCAGAAACTGATTGTTTATTAAGCTTGGTTAAAAGTTCATTGGCATTAGGCGGTAATATATAATTCTAGTTTTTTGGCCCTGAAATTAATTTTATGCCTATTTAAAATTTTCAAATGATGTTTTGTTATTTTATATAGAACCTAGATGTCGTCCTCAATTTATCAAAGAAGGCCCAAGTGTATTAGAATTTGAAGAATTGAGACATCCTTGTGTAATGACAGGGTATGATGATTATCATTTATTTAGAATTAGAATCTGGTTTAAAAAAAAAGAATCAAATTTTTACAGTATATTTATTTATTTTATATTAAAAATAAAGTGTTACAAATGATTTCATACCCAATGATACTTATCTCGGAGGTAAAGAACCAAATATAATTCTATTAACAGGTCCTAACATGGGTGGTAAATCAACTCTTTTACGTCAGGTTTGTATATTATTATTATTTTTGGCTTTATTATTAAAAGGGTATTTATTATAACTAACTATGTCAACTACCTCTACTACCTCCCTCTATTACTACTACTATGATTATATTATATTTTTTTAGAATTGTATAGCTATCATTATGGCACAACTTGGATGTTATGTTCCTGCAAGAAGATGCTTATTGACGCCTTTCGATAGGATTTATACGCGTATTGGGGCCAATGATAATATTTTAGCAGGGCAAAGTACATTTATGGTAGAGTTAAGTGAAACTTCAAGAATTCTGCATGAAGCCACCCCAAGATCTATGGTTATATTGGATGAATTGGGTCGTGGTACTTCTACATTTGATGGATATGCCATTGCCTATTCTGTTTTACATTATTTGGCCACCTATATTGGCTGCTTGGGATTATTTTCTACTCATTATGGAATGCTAACCAAAGAATTTTCCAATAATCCAAATATTGCTCTTAAGCATATGAGCTGTCATATGGATCAAAAACTTAGGGAAGTCACTTTTCTTTATAAGCTTGTTCCTGGTATATGTCCAAAATCATATGGAATGAATGTTGCTAGTATGGCAGGAATTCCAAGTCAGATTGTGGAAAGTGCAGAAGTTATTGCCAGAAAATTTGAAGAATCTTCGAAGCTTAATAACACATTGACGGCTAATGGTTCAAATATACAATTATGCACTCAAAGTGATTTTGTATATTTGTTAAGATCGATTCAAAAAGTTAAATCCGATATTTCAGATGTTGGTGATAGGGCGATGGATAATCAAACAGAACATGAAAAAGAAAAGAGAGAAACTAGAATCTTAAAGGCAATAATTCGCAGCATAAAAGAGTAGTAGAATTTTTATGTAATAATAATATTAGATTTAGTGTTCTTTAGAAATTTTTTTTCCTTTTAATATGTAATCCTTTTTTTAAAAAATATATATATATCTGTAATTATAATAATAGGCTATTATAAAAAAAAAAGAATAGGCATTGTTTTATTAAATGTGCGTCACAATTTTGAAAAAGAAAGAAGAACCAACAACAAATGTTTAAAATTAAGTTTATTATTAAAAATAAAAACCTAATTCTCATATTAATATTAAAAATACAGCAATATCGATTCTTATTTTTCTTATTTTATGATCTTTTATGATCTTTTATGATACATAATATGTACTTGTTAAAGAATATATTTTTTATATTGAATATGTATATAATACGTATATATATATATATATTATACATAAAATGGAAATTAAAAAATGCTAAATAATAATTAATAAATTCTATATATATTTATATAATAAAACAGTTGAAAAGAAATTTAAAATAAATATACAAAAATTATGTATGCAAAGGAATATTATTATAGTAATGATAAAATAAAGATATTGTATATTATATATATAAATGCAAAATTGGGATTTTATAAATTAAACCAATCCAAAAATAAGAATTAAATTAGCCAAAACAAACCAGAATTGTAAAGTTATATATATTTACATCAACGATGATAATTAGAAGAAAAATAATCTTAATTAAGTCGTAACCAACTTAGAAGTGATTTTGAAGACTGTTCATACTCTCTTGCATAATTATCATTATCATTATCCTCAATATTATTATCATATACTTCTTCATTGTCATCTATAACTTTTTCATTTTGTTCAACAGCAATATCAGAAGCAGATATTTGTGAAGCATTATCAGTAGTCCGTTTTCCGAACCATCCAAATAAACTTGAAAATTTAGCCCTAGGTGGAGTATTTTGTCCTGTTGTATTAACATCGGAAATAGAATCCGAGTCCAATCCACGTCGACGTTTACTGCCTTCAGCCATAACTTCACTATTATCATCCAAATCCTTTTTTGAAAAAAGTATATAAGATTATCGATTATTTATTTTAAATTAAAAAAAAAAAAAAAATAGAATAATGGTTTATAAACGTAACTTACATCATCTTCAGTTAGATCGGCTTTAACAATTTTTTTACGTTTACGTGGATTGTTGTGTGTGTTACGCATATTTGAATATGCGGAATTATATCGAGTTGCACTAAATCTACTATTTTTCGAGCTACTACTTTCTATACTTCCTCTTCTTTCAGTATTTCTTTTTCCTTGTTTTTCAATTTCTACAGTTTCTAACGCTGTCATTCGTACTCGAATTTCAGATCTAGATTTAATTAAAAAAGAAAAAAATTTAGGATTTTATTTTAATTAACTAACTAATTATTACTTATTTTAGGAAAAGATTACATACTCCTCAAATTGAGGTCTAATATTTAGAAAACTTTTGATGACTTCCTTATATACATCTTCATTATGGATTCCACTTTTACCCTTTTCAATATAATTATTTCTAATTTCTAAGTAAGTATATTTCAAAATTCGCCAATGATTATCATCCCATGCCGAAGAGTTTACATTTGGCGATGGTGAAGTTTTGGGTCTATTCGATTTTATAGTGGATGGCGGCGATGACGACAACGATGATGATGGCGATGGTTTTACACGTATAGATCGTGGAATAGAGGTGGTTTGTGGTTGAATTATTGGTATAATGTTTGCTGAAGTGTGCACAATATCATAATTTTGAAAAGTTAAGGCACGAATAGCGCCTGCTAATGCATCTGGGTTCTCTGCTGAAATTTTTACAACATCGGGATCATCGTAGTCAGATTGTGATGATGATGGTGTAGTTTGCTCGATTTGAGTTTCGTTATTTGGTATAACGGCAACCTCAGTAGTACTATCAATATTACCTTTGGTTTTACCACCTCGTCCACGACGAACACTTTTAATAACATTTGTTAATGCATTTGGATTTTCTGCTGAAATTTTTACAACATCATAATCATCATAATCAGATTGTGATGGTGATGATGTCGTTTGCTCGATTTGAGTTTCTTTATTTGGTATAACAGCAACCTCAGTAGTAGTATTAATATTACCTTTGGTTTTACCACCTCGTCTACTACGAACACCTTTATTACTGCCTCTAACAGTGGTGGTAGCAACAGTTGTGGTTTTAGTACTACTATCTCTATTTCTAAGATTACTTCTATTTCTAAGACTACTTCTAGTACTAACAACACTTTTCTTAGTGGCAGCCATTCTTGATTTTTTTGGAGTGACATTATCTTGTGATGATTCGACTGGTATTGTCTCCTTTTCTTCTTCGAATTCATTATTGTCTAGCTCATCTTGTGCAGTAGTAACAATATTTTGTTCAAAAATGCTTGTATCATTATTATTCTTAGTCTTATTAATAGGTTTGTTTCGGCGTTTTGGGGGACTGATAACAACAGTTGATCTTCTTCTAGATTTAATAAGACGTTCTGGGCTTGATGTACTAGTTTTTCTGGTAGTGGTAGGTGGTTTTGGAAGTGATGCTTCTGGTGAATCATAAGCTTCGGCATCAACTAATTCCATGGTATTAGTATCACTAGTAATAGAAAATTGTTGTTCAATTTCAATTTTTTCTATATCATTATTATCAACCCCAGACAACTCTTTATTAACAATTTCTTTTCTTTTTACGCGAGTCCCCCTCTTTGTACCTCCATTATCTTTTGATAATTGATTAGCTTTTTGAGTTCCCTTAGATGGTAATGAAGATTTTCTAGTTTTACTAGAAGTGGTAGTGGTGGTGGCAGAATTATTATTACGTGGAGTTCTTATTGGGTTTGAAGGTCTTAGATTTACTGAAGGGGTTGATTGTTTAGCAGTAACGGATTTTGAAGTAGTAGTCGATGTGGTTCTTGTTTGAGTCTTAAGAGTAGATTTAGGGCCAGCAGTAGACCCTTGATCAGACAAATTTTCAGGATCTGATTCACTATCAGGACGCCATTCTCGATCCTTATTATTTTTACGTTTATTTTTTTGGGGGTTTGATTTTGGAGTTTTTGGGCTAGGTTTTGTTTTAGTAACTGGTGTAGTTGGTTTGGTTTGTTTTGAAATGGCGGGCGATTTTTGTGGTAACTTTTTATTAGTAGATTTTCTAGGTGGAGTTTTGGGAACCGATATTTGTTTATTCGATTGTTTATCTAATATTTTTCTAGAACGTAGATCGTGCCTAACAAGTTGAGCATCTACAGTTTCCTGTTGTTGATTATTATTGTCATCATCATTACCATCATTATCAATATTATCACCGTCATCATTATTATCAGTTACATTATCAACATTATCTTCGTATTGGGACGATTCATCAATATTATTTATACTTTCATCATCATCTGCATCATTTTCATTAACAGATTGTTGTAACGTTTGACGATGTTTATTTTTTTGTCTCAATTTACGTGCTTTTGAACGTCTATTACCAGTACTATTACTTGGATAATCCTTTGGATAACTGATACGCTTGGTTCTTTTCGAGTAGTTTTGTTTTTAAAAATTAGAAAAAAATAATAATAAATAAATTAGTTCACAGAATAAATAAATAACTACAAATATTTATTTTTTGCAAGACATACCTTTTTCTTAAAAAATGGCCATGGGTAGCAGGAGTTGTAATTTCATCATCGCTTTCAGGTTCAACTTTTATAAATGTCATTTTTGAAGTTGCAATTGCCAAACTTTCGAATAATTGACTTCTTTGTAATAATGAATTACCAACCTGATGAAATTTTTTTTTATGCCATAGAAAAGGAAAATAAATATTTTTTTCTAGATTATTTGCATTTTTAAAAAATATTTTACCTCATTGAACCAATTTGAATATCCATCCACTTCATCCTCATCATCATCCTCCTCATCATCATCAGACTCTATAATTTGGATTCCTGATTCTTTTCCTTTGTCTTGATTAATATTCTGTGAGTTTGTTACTTCTACACTTTCTAATTGTGATTCAGTCGTCGTTATTATTGCTAAATCATTATCACTTACGATTACTAATTCTTGAGATTCAATTTGTGGATTATAATTAATATTACTATTATCAGTAGTTACAGTTGTAATAAATGGGTTTGGTAATAATGAATCTTTTTCTATAATATTATTGATAGAACTACTAGTAATAGTGGTATTTGAAGTTGAGGTTGTAAAATAATTTTCACTGTCATTTGTACTAGTAAAAATTAAACTTCCAGAACTTGATTCTAATGTATTATCAATGATTGATGATTGCAATGAGTTAATGGTGATATTATTTTTATTTTTACCAAATGATGGTATGGTTGTTGAATGTTGTTGAATGTCTCTTACATTTGTTAAATTTCGTACACCAGCATTATTTCTTTTATTAATGTTAACACTATTGATATTATTATTATTATGATTATTATTATTATTATTATTATTATTATTATTATTATTATTAATGTTATTCACCTCTTCTTCAAGAAGAGGTGAAATGTTGTTATATGGATTAGTCATAAAGAGGAGAAATTAATTATATCGTATGTAGAGAAGAATTATTATATAAACAAATAAAAAAAAAAATTTATATAATTAAATAAGTTTTTTGTGGTAACAATAATAAACAAAAAAAAATAATTGTCTCTTTTTTAAACTATTTTTTTTAATGTAATCAAGCTCAATATAGTAGTGGTTACACCAAACTAAAGTAATTATGACGTCACGAGGTAATATTTTTATTTCGAAAGCGTCCAAATATCAATTGATCATTTGACATGGATTATTATTCTCAGTATTGGTATTTGTTGATTATAAAAGGTAAGAGAATGAAGGTGAGGGCAAAAGTGTATTGTTGGAATTGTTTGTTTTTTTGTTGTTTAAAGGAATTCGAGTAAAATTTTTTTCTCGGGTGTTTCTGGGTATATAATTATCCTAAAATACAGGGACACACATAATACACTAGTCATTTTTTTTTTAAAAAAAAAAAAATAAGTATATAATAAGTCCAAAAAAGTAATTATTTTAAATTATTTATTTACAAATCAAATTTTTTTTTTTAAAAGTCTCATGAAAATAATGCAATTTTACTATTACGTAAATATAGAGAGGCGGATTGAACGATGATGGATGACATAACAGAATTGTTTTAACACCATGTGGGTGTGATTTTTAATTTTGGGTAATTTAATTCTTTAAAAATTAATTAAAAAAATCCTATAACTTCTTCATTGAACCTCTATAAGCACAAGTCCTACGTAGACAGCTTACAACGAGGTGTTTCGAGTATAAGCCCTACGTCGCGAACCACTCTTGTTGTATTTCCGTAAATAGTAGTTAGTATACTTTAAAAGTATATTAAAGGCTCCATTTACATCTCTATCAATTGTGGAATTGCAAAATGTACATTTATAGGTCCTAGATTTTGTTTGATGATTCCACAACATCCACACTCACTCACTTGCAGGATTTATGGAGAAAATATTGACGAAAATGGTAATGTGCCACCAGTTCAGCATTTGCCTCGCAGTTTTGGATTGGGTTTTCTAAAACTTTCATTTTGCAAATTTTCGATAACATCAAACCACAAGATTATGAATTTTCTTGCATGCATCAATGGAGCTTACATCCTTTGCGCTCATTTGTTTTACCACGAATAGAATAGAGTTTCCTTCATCTGTACTCTATCATAAGTGATCTGATCTACTTTTTTGTTTTCCCATTCACCATTTTGGGTTATATTCAGTCATGAGGGTCCCCACTCCTAGATCAAAAGAAATGATGCTAGCAGCCACCGAAAATTTAGGGCCTTAGTTATCAGCCTTAATTTCAATTGGCTCAAGTAGAATTCACCAAAGATGATTTATGGTGAGGCGACAGTCATATTTTATTTCAGGTATTTTCTCAGTTGATTTAATGCCTTTTGAAGAATGAATAATCACCTTTTTATTCTTCCCCAATCTATTGATTCAACGACAATTGGCTGTAATTGGTCTTTTTTTAGATTAAGTTTTAATTTAAAAATTCTTTTTTTTTTATTTTTTATTTTTTGCTGTAATACTTGAATTATAATCATTCAATAGGATCATCATCGTTGATGTTTCTCTAATGAGTATCAAGAACTCATTTGAGATCAAGGTCTTTAATTGATATAATTTTCACACAAGTATTGGAATTTTTTTTATTTTGGTTTTTGGAAGATGATGAGGTTGAAGAAGCCACATTCTCATTTTTAGATGATGATGATAATGAAGTTGTAGAACTCTTGCATACGCCGTCCGGTAAAAGAGGGACACGATTTAATCCTAAGGTATTTATTGGTTTAATTGGATCAACTGTAACCCATGCATGAACCCCAAGAGTTAGTCTTTTTAAAAGTCATCCCGTTGACTTTGGCACAGTGATTAGTCAACATCAGTTTGCAAGTTTTCATCCCAGAATGAAAACTAAATCTTTTTACATTTGAAGGAGAGTTGGTTGTGATGATGAGTTACAATCAACTGGGGAAGAAAGATCACTTAAAATTCTTTTAATTAATTAATCAAATTAATAATTTTTTAAAAAATTTTGTTATTAAAAATGATTTGAGTTTGGTAAAAGATTTACATTGTCAACTACTACAACCATCACCACTCTTCAATCTCTTTCTGCTCGTTACAATAACGACTATATATAAAAATTATAAAATTCAAAACATAATTCAAAATAAAATAATGAATGATGATGATAATACTAATAAAATTTAAACTGTTTTTTGTTAGAAATTTAAAAAATAGCCGTGAGATTTATCCGCCTGTGACGTATTGCGGCATAATGGGTTTTTTTAATTCGGAAAAATATAAATTGAATTTTATTTACTGCGTAAGATTTATCTATCTGGTATTTGGTATCTTTATTTATAAATCACAAAGTATAAACAACAAACAATTTAGCGCCATTATATTATATTATATAAATAATAATATAAATAATTTGTTTATAATAAAAAATGATAATTTTTTTTTCTTTAAAAAAATACCACAATTAAAAAAAAATGGGGCTTGCTTGTAAAGTGTTTGTGGTGATAATTTCTGTTCTTGTATTTATAGCTGTAGCTCTTAGTTTTTTAAATGTTGAATTAAATGTTCCAAAACAAACTTATAACCGTTTAACCGGTTATCCAGTTTGGCATCCAGTAATTGATGGTAATTAATTATTTAATCTGATTTTATATATATAATTTCTTTTATAATTTACAATTTTCTTTGAAATTTAGGATATGATCAGACCCAACTTGATGCATTAAGTGTATTTGTCGAGGTGGTGATGGCAATTGGTGCATATATTGGATATCATACAATTAAAAATAAGCCGAAATCCAAGAAATATTCGACAATATTTTATGAATACAATGATGGACACAGCAAACGTAAAAGACATAGAAATGACGAGTTATATTATTTGATAGTGATTTACATTATAACAACTATTGTTTCAGGCTTTATTTATGCGATATTTGATATTGGTAAATTATTTGGAATGGTTGCAGTCAATCATAATATATTAGAATATGTGTTAATAGTTTGGATACTATCAGGAGGAAAAATCAACTATTCAAAATGGTATGCATTTTTCTTTATACATCTTTTGATCGTTGGTGTACTTACTATATTCTTAAAATGGCCTTATGATGCTATTGCCTTTAGAATTCAAGGTATGATTTGTGGCTTGGGGCTTGGTGTTTGAAATTTCTACTTTTCCATTTAACCCATATAAATTATATAATTTTATAGGCTTGACACTTGATATATTATTATTTACTGAACTTACAAGAACATATTTTACAACACTTTGTAATTTAAAACGAAAAAATCGTATTGCATTGGTTGACGATGGTAATGATGAAGATGAAGAACGACAAAATCTTGAAAATCATAGTGATGATGACGATGATGATGATTATTATTATGATGATGATGACGATGATGATGATGATGCTACTAAATATAAATCATGTTTCCATCACCCAAATCAACTTTTGATCTTGGTGTTAGCATCGTTTATTCATGGATTGGGCAACACTATAAATACCTTTTATTATGCTCAACAAACTCCGTAAGTGGATTTAATTGTTTTTAAAAAGTTTTTTTTTTTTTTGCTGATCAACTTTTTTAATTTCAAAAAATTCTCTTTCAAATATAGTATCTTGTTGTTTCAATTTAGTTATTCTTTAGCATTCGCATTGTATGCTTACTATATTTATGTTGATACTCGTATTCCAGCGTCACCATATTCCAAAAAAATAATTTATTTGCCAAATAATTCAAGTTATATAACTTTCGCAATTATTGTTCTCACACTTTCTTTCTCTCTCTTGGTTGTTAGAATTAGTGTACTAATTGAATCTAAACATGATAACAGTGGTTGATATCATCATTATTTAATCTTGTTTATTATTTAATCTTGTTTATTTATTTATTTATTTATTTATTATTTATTTATTTATTTATTATTTATTTATTATTTACTTATTTATTATTTTGCAATAATGTATCATTACACAATAAATATCAATAAATAAATATCAATAAACAATTTCATTAGTTACCTATAAATTCACGTGATCTTTACAAAATCTCCTATAGTACATGTTTCGCTCAAACGGAGATTAATTAAACATACTCCATATGAGATGATTGAAATAAAATAAATTGTTATTTATTACGTAATGCCTTTTTTTGCATCATAATAGAAAATAAAATTATAATGTTTGAGTCAAATAGATTTAACGTGAATATTCCAAAGGACGCGCGTACCTTTAAAGAATTCATCTAGTTTATCGTTTTTTTTTTTTTTTAATATTAATTATATACACGTTACCCACTATACTTTTATAAATCCAAGTTGAGCTTTGCTAATTTATGAGGGAATTGCCACTCTGACTGAATAAACAAGGTTTTAAAATTAGACGCTGCTGCATAAACTTAAACATATCGGCGGATTTTTCTATTGACGCAGATAGCATACATGATCTACTGGGCAGTGTATAAAAGTTCAATGTGCGGAATTGTCGGTGCTAACTCTAACCAAACTTGGGAAATTATTTTCTGCATATGATCAGTTGATCAGCAATTCTAATAAAGGTAAATCCATACACACATGTAAATTCGGTCATTTATTTATAATATTATCAAGTTACTTTAAACAATTAATTGCCGCGTCAGGCTGGGCTTATCGAAGTTTACATGTGTGTGTGTATGTATAATAATAACAAATTGGTCAGCTTCAAAATACTAAAAAAGTTAACCGGTTTTTGTTTATGGCTCAAGCTTCAAAACTTTGCTAGTTTTTTCTTAGACTAAAAATTGGCTGAGCCTTGCATTTTGAAAATTTCAAAATCTTGAGACATTAATATGGGGTGGGTGTTCAATAGAAACAAAGGAATGTTGCCCAAAAATCAATGGTTACGCATTACTTTTACCGACAACACGCGGCGCGCCACTTTAGCATTTTATTAGTTGTTTGTCGGTAAAAGTCGGTAAAATGATTGTCGGTAAAATGAATGCCTCCCAAATCCAATTACATTTATGTGTAACTTATCACGAGGAACATTTTTTAGAAATTTCAAAAAATGGGGATAATTACGATTCGAGTTAATAATAATGCTTTTGTATTGCAAATTGCCATAATAATAATAATAAATAATAATAATAATAATGAGGATTAGTTAATCATATCCACTTTACATCATAATAAAATTTCGAAAATTTTTCCGTTAAAATAATAGTAAAGTGCAGATCCTTTTGATTCTATTAAAAAACGACGAAAATTATTATTATTATTGCAAATTTAAAAAAAAAATGGGACAAATTTTTTTTTTACATGAATTGACTTCTTTTTAAAGGCAGTGGTTGTTTTAAACATGTGGATATTTCAAAAATTTTAACTTTTTATGGTTACCCTTTTTTCTAAAAAAGGAACCGGGAGTCTCTTTAAAGTTTTTGAAGATTTGTTTCTTCACTGGTTGTAACTTCTGATCCAATAATTGAACTAACTGTTCTCGACCAGTACTGTAAAGTTTGTAAATATTCAACTTTCACTCACTAAATTAAATATAGGTGCCAAACAGTAATTATGAAGCATATTTGATAGAAGTAAGAGTATGCTAATTTCATATAGCTTGCATTGAAATGAAAAAATCACATTTTACATGATATGCTATATAGAAATTCAAAACATTCATAAACTGCTCGAGTTATTAACAAAAAATTTTTAATTGTTCTACTCTCGCCCACTGTTAACATCAAGGTTGTACAATTTTTTAGGAATTATTAATATTATGTATCTTATACTTTAACCATATGTCTTAATAAGCAAACATTAGGACAGGTCTAGTTCTGCTTGTTCTCTAAGTGCTTGAAAAATAAATATAGGAATCTCGAGTTTATTATTATTGCAAGTTTCGCAAGTTGTTTCAACGCAAATCATCTACATCGGAATAAGGAAGGTTTCGTATTCTTGGGATGAAATTACCACCATGTCCTGCCGATTCTATTGATGTGTTTTAAATAAATGATCGCATAAAAATCACTTCTTTAAAGTCTGTTGTATGGAAAACGTGTCATGTTGACAGTAAATTCTGGCTGTTAACATAATAAATTTGAAAATTAATTAATCTTGAATGATCTTGATTTTTATTTTATTCAGATAATATACATATATAGTTAATTAATGACCTTTAAGAGAATAATTTAAAAAATAAAAATTGCACTTTAAGGTGAATTACCAATCTAAAAAAATAATTTGCCGCATGAACTAATTATTTGATTACTATTATAATTAAAAGAATCAACATTAATTCTTCTAATTAATTAATCTAATTGACAGAGAATTTATTTAAACTTTCACTGACCAATTCAACAAAAGGTGGTAATAATTTAGGTAAAACTTTTAAATCAGGAAATTTCATTTTAATATTTAACTTTTCATCAATTAAATCATTTAGATCTTGATTTTTTAAAATAAGATTTTCTTCATTATCATCTAGTCCTTCACTTCCATCTATTAATCCATTACCCATAATTCCATTACTAGTATTAATGTCATCCTCAATACTTTCATCATCGTCATCTATTACTTGATAAAATTCTTCTAAATAATCATCACTTCCGTCACTATCACTACTACTACCACTATTACTGGTATTACTACTACCACTACTGCCATTGTCGTCTTCAAAACTTTTATCATCACCATTATTCCTAAGAATGTTCTTTAATTTTAATAATCTTCGTTTCTTTTTTAATGTATTCCATAACATCAAATCATCTATTTCTTTAGTCAACGCTTTAATTTCATCATCTTCACTTAATACCTCATCAATCAATTTATCCAAATCAAATCTATCATATATAGTGCCTCCTCTCATAAAATCTATAATTTTCTCAATCCAATTTAACATCGATTGAAACAGTCCTGATGTATCGTGTAAATAGATTGATTGAACAAAATTATAAAAGCTTGGTATGTGTCTATCAACTAATTGCATAAATGGTTGGATTATTGAATCAGAACTTGAAAATTTTGATGATGCCATTTTTGTTACTAGATACATGAGTGAAGGCGAGTTTTTTTTTTTTTTTTTGATATTAGAATAATCAATGTTAAATCATTAATCATGTAATTTAACCAATTAATGAATTTAGTTTACCTTTTTGATCTATTTGATCAACTAATATTATTAATTCATCTATAAATCCTGAAACATCTGTTAAAGAATCTCCAATATTTGCTGCCTTTTCATTTTTTAAAAGGAAAAATTTTAATTTCATGAATGAATGAATTTGGATATATATATATATATATATATATATATATATATAAATGTATATATATAAATGTATAAAAGAGATTGATTAATTGATTTTACTTTATATATTTTAGCCAATGGTTCATAGAATATCGCTATGATATCCTTTATTAGATCACCAGTAATTCCCTTAATAAAAATCAATCGTTAATCATTAAATTTTTTAGAAATTCATAATAACATCATCAATTCAATCAAAATCTAAAAATTAGAAAATACCTGAAACAACAATTCAATCATAACTTCTTTATCTCTTTGACGAATATAAATAAAAAACAATCTTTTCAATAAATAAATTAAATTGTTTTTATCTTTTTTCTTACGACGATATATTTTATTTTTATTTGAATTATGATCCTTGTCATTGTTGATACTTGGATGACGATCATTAATGTAATCGATCATTGCTTTCTCGATATGACCTAATTGTTCCGAGGATAAGTTCGGTGATATTATATCAGATTTTAAAACTGCTACAATCAATGTTGTTGAATCTATATTGTTGTTGTTGTTGTTGTTGCCGTTATACAAAAAAAATATAAAATTAATCAATGATTGATTGATTGATTGATTGATTGACTATTTAATAAAAACAATTGAAATTACTATTATTTAGTATACTAACGTGCACCCGAAATATCTTTTTTGATGGATTTTTGAGTATCGGATGAAGCATAAACAAAATTTCGTAATTTTTCACATATTTCAGGATCATTAATGGACCCTTCTACAATTTTCATATCATTGTTAAGTGTTTTTATCTCTTCATATAAATTCGCAGATAACATCCTAATAATCGTTCATAAAGGTTATTAATTTGCCACCACAACTACAAATCAAAGAAAAAAGAAATACGTAAATTTTAAAAAAAGAATTTATAAAACAAACAATACCTTTGTATTAAACTTTTTTGGCCAAATGGCTGTGCCAAGAAAATATCCATGATAGATCTTAGTATACCAACAGGATTAGAAATTTTCATTACAGTTTTCACTAATCGATATGGCATCAGGTTGTGTGTACGTTTTAATTGTGAAAATGTTTCACTGCTATTATCTGATCCAATAAATAATGAATATAATGTTGAAGCAAAACTATAAAATATTGTCATTACCCAAAAAAATTAGTATCAGTGGAGGATTATATTAATTTCTGATAAAGTTATTAAAATTATTGTTATAAAAACCTAATTTCACCATATTCAATAATTTTTTGATAAGTAAAGGGTAAATCTGTTATTTTTTTGCTTTCTTGAACTGTCTGCAAAACCTTTGATAATCCTCCTAAAAATAATAATTATAATAATCATAATAATCATTAATAATGAATGGCATTATAATTATATATCCTTTAATGAATAAAAAAAACCCCCCCAAATATTTATTTACCAGACTTGAACAATTCTTCTTTAAATTCCAAAACTTGCTGCTCCAATTCTTTTGTTCTTTTTTCAGCTTCCTTATTAAACAATTTTTGTTGTTGTTCTCTAAATTTATCCAACTCTTTATGTTTTTCGGCTTCCTTTAACTCTTCACTAGTTAGTTGAATTGGTTTTTCAG